TTGCTAAACACAAGCCTCCCCCTTCGGGGATTTTAGCAGTAGTTGCCACGCTTGGCAGGCGATATTAGCAAGCGTGGTTTGGCTTTGGAGATGTTTTAAGAGGGACGCTGCTGCCGATCCCTCACTCTCTTTTTCGACACTTACAGGGAAGAACAGGGTAGCCTATTCTATGCCCGGACCACATGGCATATATATATATATATATATATATATATATATATATATATATATATATATATATATATATATATATATATATATATATATATATATACACTAAAATACTTTCATGAAGTAGATATAGAGTAGAACGCAAGTAAAATAATTAAATAATAAAAAATATGCGAGTATACTTAATACATTTTCATACAAAATAATCAAATTCGTTTTCACGCAATGTAACCACGCATCGAAGTATACAAAGTGTCAATTGCTTAAGCTGGTAATGTATAAAGGACACTGACTCCTAATTGATCGTTTATACATACTTTTAATTCTTAATTAACATTTTTTCTTTCATACTGAGGATATACACTTAATAAATCTCACGACCACTAACAGAAATTTGATAAAAAAAAAATTAACAAATTTGTAACAATATTTTTAAGTTAGGTAATACAGAGTGAACTCATTAGCACGCTGTTTAGGAAGGGTTTAGGCATTGTATATTAAACAAACGTGGGTCGAAAAACGACAAATAACTAATTTAAAAAATATGATAAGAGATACTAACATTGATAGCTACATATTCTATTATTATGAGCGACAATTTAATACAATTTTTTATCGACTTTACAATCCATGTTTATTTAGGAAAATATTCAGTAAATATTAGCCAAAGATGTCGTTGAACTCTGCATACATAAAACTTTTTAATTAAACTTGGTTACTATGAAAGATCGGTGAAAATACAATGCATGAGATTGCCAGGTGGCAACCCTTATAGCCTTTTATACAGGCAACCCTATAATACCTACGTATAATAGAAAAAAAAATTATACAATTAATTTCCGTATAATGTAGGTTTTATTAAAAAGAATCAATTCCCTGTAACTAACAGCACCATGATCTAAAACAAAACTTTAAAAGTTGCCAACCATTACTTGCAGCCATTTTTTATCAGGCAACCTTATGACCCAAAAGAACACATTTTCATTTGGTATTAATATTATTAAGAATAATTGTAAATTTAGCAAGCTTATCAAAATTATTACCTACTTTCACCTAGCAGTTCTAGGTTGCGTGGCAACTATTGGCAAAATCAAACGGGAGGCTTATGTTCAGCAGTGGACATTTAAAGGATGTTACGATGATGAGTTCTAGTTAGCAGCTAACTGAGTGCACGTAACACGAGTGCTTTGTATTCTATTTTCACTCATCTTTCATTTAAACATAGTTATAAAAGTTTTATATCTGCAGAATTCAGCGGTTGGATCTTAGACTATACACCACTAGTAGCAACAGCGTCTTAAATAATGCTAACCATTTCGAATTCACTCTATATTGTTTTATAAATGTCATAAAAAAGTACAAATTACATATTTGAAAAACATTTTATATAAATGAATGAAGCTAAATATGGAGCGCAAAATATGGCGACAAATTTCAATTTACATGTTGACTCAGCGTAGATATAAGAATGTAAACACTTTTATCATATAAAAAAAAAAATGGGCACAATATTAAACATAGTTGTAGGAAATGAATCATATGTCTAGATGTTTGATTTGAGACCAATTGTAATGATATCTGTAAAGGTGTTATAACGAGACCGAATCTGTGAAGCCAAATCTTTTTATCAAATATTTCTTTTTTTAATAACAATGATTTAGACTTGAATCCATTAGCGTCTAAGAATCGGCTCTAAATGTTACAATACATTCATTAATATAAATACATATGTTGTAATACGTTATATATAAATAAATAAACAAATAAAAGTAGATAATAAATATTTTTTAAATCGTTTCAATTTTGTTCAAATTATTTAGTACCTGTAGGAACAAAAGGCGAGTTTAATCCTTCGATAAAAAAAGTCTTCGAAACCTATTAACAATTAGTGTATGTATATATCACATAATAAAAAAGAAAATTAAAAGTATCAAACTGAATTCCTTTTTTGGATTCATTAATTAATATAAATTAAGATTGTTTCCATAAAAAAATAAAAAAAACTATTTAAAATGTGACAAACCCCGTTTTTTTCATTTTAATTTAAAACTAAACTACAGAACAGATTTTGATAAAATTTCTATGGACTAATCTATAATAATATCGTTTCAGATAAATAAAAATATACATATCGGTTTAGAACTGACGGAGTTATGAGATACAAACGTAAAAAATGATAGAACTAAAATGAGACCCTCCTTTTTATAAGTCGGTTGAAAACATAGCACTTTGATATGATTTCAGTAAAAATACATGTGTCGCAAAATGTACATAAACTAAATGGCAATCAGTGATTGATGACTAAGATGGGAGGTGAGGGAACTTCTGCTAGTAATAGTGGTGGTCAACCTTCGAGTGTTGACAGTCGCACACAGACTAATGGTAGCGGAATTAAACAAAATAATTCGAATCAAATGACCAAGATATATGGACCTCCACTAGATAACACCTAGTTTAGTAAAACAATTCGTTTTTGTTATAAGATTTACACGGAAATCTCAAACATAAGCCCTTGTTATTAAGGTGATTATAGTTATTTTTCGTCTACAACGATTATGCCTGATAACCATAACCATTCTCTAACAGTCGCCCGCCATCTTGATCTATACGACTCATGCGACATCACATGCATTTATATCGAATATCCACTTATAAAAATAAAAAAAAAGCATATATACGTTTGAATTGAGAAACCTCCTCCTTTTTTGAAGTCAGTTAAAAAGAACCCACACCTGTTTCTAAGGAAAATTAACCAGTATCATTGTTTTATGTAAAATTTCACTTGCATTTCGTATTTGCCGAATGACAATCTTTACATTGCGCGTTGACAGTGCGCATTGGATAATAACCTATTTATGAAACCAAGCAACGTATACAGCTACATCTTTTTAATATTGTAACACATTAAAACAACCGCATTTAATAAAATTGCGGGCCCCACATAAACAATGGTAATTTGGGTGTTACGAAGACAGATAAAACTATATCGAGTAATGGGATTTTAAATAGCAATTTCGAGGTAATTTTGGCTTTGTCCTCATATTTGTTTTGTATTTATTAAGTCCATAAGGGTATCTTAGTAAACTTGTCGATTTAGTTTGTGAGTATAGAAAAATGTAATATATTTATATGGGTATTAAATACATTAAATAATAATATATAATAATAACAATGTATTTATGTATATCAGCACTTAAACAATGTACATGTAACAGAAGAAATCATCATTTGATCCATCACTATTAGATAGATTCAGAAGACTAAAAATTCGCATTATATATATATATATATATATATATATATATATATATATATATATATATATATATATATATATCCAATTATGAATAATAAATCATAATAAATGCCGCTACACCCTCACACTGATCGCCTGGACTATATTTTTAATTTTTTTTTATTTGGTATTAGTTTTAAATGTGTAAGTGTTCTCTCTACCGTTCCCCAAAATGGTGGGTAAATAATTTATTAGATAAATAGGAAAACCTACACAAACCTATCCATTTACAGAAAAAATATTAAAAATATTGAATGTATGATTATGGAATTTATTTGGCAACGAAATAAAGGAAACTCAGGAAAAAAATGTTTTTTTTTTATACCACTTAGAATGACAAACAAGCTGACGGTCCACCTGATGGAAAGTGGTAACCGTCGCCTATACACATGAGCAGTACCATGGACATAACAGAGTATACTGTTTCGCCCATGATACCCCCCATGCGTTGCCATTCCTGAACACTCAGGTGTTATTCCCCTGTACCCTGTAAATTCACACCATATCCCACCCTCCAAACCGAAAAACAGCCATGCAAACACAACTTCTGCTTCACGGTTGAAACCCGAATGGAATGACAGAGGTACCAAAGCAATCGACTTTTGTACAAAGTCTCCCTCTGGTATTTATCAAACTAATATGCATAAGTTTTAATCGTTATTTTTAAAATAATATGTAAAGGTTGGTAGAGAATGCTACTAGAATTAAGTCCGCCATTTGTACCATACTTTGTTTTGGTCAATAAAGTTATTTAAATATGTAAAATATTAAATAATATTATGCAGTTATTATTACTATATATAGGCACTACTGTTATATATATATATATATATATATATATATATATATATATATATATATATATATATATATATATATATATATGTAGTGTAAAAATGCATTTATTATACAAACGTACTTTGATAATAAATATTTTTATATTTATATTATCGTCTTGTCCTCAAATCACGACACCTATTAAAATGTATTTATTGGAACCATAAAAAATTACCATTGTAGGGTAGTGTACGATAACAGCCACATTAGTTAAAAATAACTGTGTCGTGGCCTTGCCTTTGTTATAAGGCCTTTTGGCCTATGTTATGAGGAACCAGCCAACTGACATCTCGAGATACAACCCAGAACACCTGGACCCAAATTAATTAAAAAATTTCGTTTCCAAGTTTAAAAGTACCCGTAACCGGCGAGCGTGTATGAAAAGATTGATGAATGTGGAGGAAGCGAAAGAGGTTTGTTTGAATCGAAGCATTTGGCGTTCCATTGTTTCTGCCTATTCTAATGGGAGACAGGCGTGACAGATATGTATGTATTCGTTTCCAAAATTGTGCAGACCGAGACTCGAACCCAGGGCCTTATTACGCAAAGCTTTGCTTGTGAGAATTTACCCTACTGCAATTAAAAAAAGGACCAGTGTCTTTTGTATTCAAGTAATTATTGTGTATGACGTCATAATCAATACAACTATGTTTAATATTAAAGGAATTATAACAAATGAAAAAAAAATCACAAAAAATATAAACTAAAATATGTAATTCTAAAATTTCTACATGTAAATATATGTATTTATATATAATTAAAAATTCATCGCACTTTTTAGTTTTAATAATTAAAAAATCCGAATTAAATTTAAATTATTCGAAATTAGATCAAAGATATTGCTTTAAAGCCAGTAATAATATTGCTACCATTTCGATCGCAAGCGACGCTAGGAAACGTAAACACAGTGGATAAATTTACAATAAATATAACGGTAGGCAATTTTGTAATTCTAATGTAAGAGAAATAGCGACGAGAATAAAAAAAAAAAAAACTGAGCCAACAAGTAAAAGGCCTTTTCTAGAATGTCACAATGGAACATGTAAATATAGGTATTATTAATTTCTTGGAAATCTCGCGATGGATCGCGTGCATACGCACGAGATGTGACAAATGATTCACAGCACCTTCAGTGACATTATAGAACGGACAGCAATATTTTCAAAATGGACAACAAAATACTGATATGCACAACAATTATAGGCTTTTAGAATACAAAACACTAATATAGGAACTAGATACAGGTGACCAATTAAAGTTAATTAAAAATAAATTCGATTGGTTTTTTCGTTTACACCCTTTTGACTTTTAAGTTGCAATCTAATCTAATACAGAAAGCAGAGTTGTACATATCAGTATTTCAGTCGCCTGATATTTTAATTCTTATATATATAAATATAGACAATTCTGGAGTAATTATAACAAAACAAAAGGGTCGTACAATTTCTTTACTAATACAATTAATTTTCATTTTAGGCGGAGAAGTATAAATAATGTAAAAAAAAAGAAATACTATATTTTTATAGTACATGACAAAATTGTGTTAACTTAATAATTTTAAGTCAATTATAAGAGGATAACTGTGGTCAAGAAAATTATTTTAGACACGTGTAATTGGCTAGAATTACATCCATGGGGCAAAATAAACTGGGCTACTAATTAATTATAATGTACCAATTATTTTACTGTCGGTCAATTGTCACCTAGCTGGGGGGCAAGAGTATGAAAAAAATTCGCTTCAAGCAATAACGGTGTGGGTGTACATTAAAAAAATCGCTCGGCTTATATTATGAAAGTAAACGGGTAGTAGCACAGCGTACACATCTTCGCAGCCGGTTAACGACTCAGTATTGAGAATATAAAGCGAAGCACTTATGAACTAAGTTGGCAATATTTTGTTCAATTGCTTGTTCACATAACCCTGGAATTCTTAGCATAGTTACAAACAAGTATAACGATACAATAGAAACGATTCTGAAGCCATTCTAAATTCAAATTTGATAGTCATTCTCAATTTCTAAATTCAAATTCGATATTATCATCATTCTAAAGGCCAGTACGAATTAATTTTATAAATATAAATGTGTATTAAAAACTATATAAACTTTAGTAATAGAAACTGATTCAGGAATGTCACTTCAGAAGCGATTTTCATGTTCAGAACTATAGACGTATGGGTAGTGTTATACTCATTTGATTAACTGCTGTGTTCCAATATTATGTGAATAAGTCTTTTGTAATTCCAAAGTAAAAAATAATATAAAATAACTACACCTATAATCTCATTCTTGTACACGATATTGTGTTCTTAAACATAATACTAGTAATAATACTATAATATATTAAAATTAGTCGAAATTATAGTAAGTACATTTTAAACCTAATCATTTTGATTAACACAGACAAGAATCATTTAAATTAGATACCTATGTTAATGTTATCAGAGATATAGAATGATAACCGTTTGGCACACAAGTATATAAAATACTTTTATTAATCACCACTGTGTCTATTAATTGAATGTAAAAAAAAATATTTCAAAACTTATAAATTAAAGAGATCTTTTAATAAAATTTAATATGATTTTATGAAAAAAAAAAATTGAAATACCACATTATTTTCCAAAAAAATACTGAACACTTCTGTATAGAATTCAGTAATTTATTAGACACAATATTGTACACAAAAATGAGTATTAAATGACATAATAATATAATAATAAGATATCAAAGCAAGAATTTACACTAAAGTTATACATTCAGCCTTATATACATGCAGTGATTATGAAAAAAAAAAAAAAAATTATATTGAATACATTCTAACAAAAACGAGTTCTTGTAATATAATTAAGTACATCACTTGAAAATAGATCACATTAGCAGTACAAGTTACGATCAGTAACGCAAAACGCTATTATTGTTTCCACCATAATTCTATAATCCTATAAATAACATTTTCCTTTGCAAATATACCCATTAATATACAAATAATTGTCATCCAAACGATTAAAGCAGAATTAGCTATCTACGATTTTATAACTCTTAATTTTTACAAAATTAATTTCATTATATTTGCAGCATTATCCTATCCATACAAATGCTTTAAATACAATTTATGTTTACCAGTCAATCTACTCCCTTCGTCTCTCACATACATTTATCATTCTACTCATAATTATGTGAACAATAATGATGGGGCTTTAAATTAAAAATAAAATTCAATCACAAGTAATCTACCAGTCTACCTGAACAAGTGCTCGTTACTCTGGCTAGCCCGTAAAGATGGTCACTAACATAATGTAAATACTGAATTCATTTAATTTGAATATTAAAATAGACAATGGATCTATATTTCGTTGTACAGAATTGGCTAGAAGACGGTATGTCGATAAAGCTTACATTGTTTAACTGAATTTTAAACACATACATGAATTAGGCCGGCTTCAACTGTCTGACAAATATTTGAATAACAAAAAAGAAAACATTTCTATGACTAAATAAGTACAATAATAATATAAAGTATTGAAAAAAACAAAAAAAAAAAAAGATATAAACAGCATTGTGATATAATTATGTCATGTCATATGTTTTAATTGATAAATATTTGTGTCTCTGTTAACCTTATGAAGTACTAAATCTAGGAGAGTACTTTTAGAAAAATATACAAAATGCATTATTTTCATTAGTATAAATCACTTGGAGACCACCAAACTGTTTCATTGTCAGTCATATACTCTGAAATCAGATTTTAGTACTATCAAACTTCACTTATTCTACACAGCATTTGGAAATAGTTCACACAAGGAAACCATAGGGACCACTGACACGGATGTGCGCACGCATGCTCTGCACGCTGTTCATGATCTTCTTCTGGTGGCCGACGAGGGTCACTCCAAGAGAAGCCAGCTGGTGGACTGTGAGGTCTACCACCGCGTCCATATCCGTAATGCCGGCCGCACGGAATTTTTCGATGTACCGCGACATTTTGATGCATTCCAACCACTCCTCGACAGACGAGAACTGCACCAAATCGGGCGTGTCACCAGCTAGGGGATCCGCAGAACGATTTTGCGCTATTTTTCGCAACGTATCAGGGCATCGAATGAGTTTATCCAAAGTCTTTACAATGCTTGAGAAGGTCGGCCTATGTGTGCGTTCTTTCTGCCAACAATCTAACATAAGCTGGTATACAGCTTCAGGACAATCCATAGGGGCCGGTAGACGGTAACCCTTCTCTATTGACTTGATCACATCCTGATTACTCCAGTTCCAATATGGACGTTCACCGAAGCTCATTACCTCCCAGCATACAATACCCATAGACCAAACGTCACTGGCCGATGTGAATTTCCTAAAAGCTATCGCTTCAGGTGCCGTCCATCGTACTGGTATTTTACCGCCGCGTGTAGTATATGCCCCATCAGCGGTAGATTCTATTTCGCGTGACAAACCAAAGTCAGCAATTTTGCAAACCAGCTGCGAATTTACAAGTACATTTCTAGCAGCAAGATCACGATGTATGTAATTCATTTCAGACAAATACTGCATGCCTGTCGCAATACCACGAAGCATTCCCACCAATTGCAGAACACGAAACTTTCCATCATTTGCACGCAAAAAGGTATCTAAAGAACCATTCTCCATGAATTCAGTGATAATCATTATTGGATTGCATTTTGTGACAACACCCTGTAAAAATATGACGTTGGGATGTTCAAATTGGCCCATTATAGACGCTTCAGCTAAGAAGTCCCGCCTAGCTCTTTCAGTGGATCCAGGCTTAAGTGTTTTTATGGCGACATCTATTTCTTGGCCACAGCTAGCTGGCACCTTCAGCTTGCCACGGCATACATCCCCAAATTCACCACCTCCTATAATAGCCTCTATTGTAATACAAGAGGCATCAATTTCTCGAGCAAACTCTCTAACAGCCTGATTGGGATCCTCATAGGTGTGGGGGTCTATGTAAGTTCTAGAACCTGTGCCAGCAAAAAGTGGTGTAGTGGCATTACTACTAGTTTTAGCAGGTCGTTCTGGGCCCGTGTAAACTTCACCATTGCGATAGTTAAGAGCATTACAATCATTTGGCTGTTTTTTATCACATTCATCATCAGCTCGGGACCGCAAGAATAGAACGGTAACAATAATGGCTACTACACAAATGACCACCACTGCAACCATTACTCCAGCAACTAAGCGCACCTGTGCACCTTCTTCTTCCCCTACAAAAGTAGTTTCAAGCACAGAACCTGTACGTGCATATACTATACCACTGAACTCTCCCCAGCCACGTTTCATCTTGGCCCTAACTCTAATTCCATACTCTGTGTCCCTTTTCAATCCAGTTATGGTAACATGAGATTCTTTTGTGATTTTTAGTGTAGTGTTAGCACCTTTTTCTAAATTATCCTTTGGGAAACATTTCACTTCATAGCTTTCAATAGCATCATCAGGATCAGACAAATCAATGGGTGGTGGATTCCAAATTAATGATAATTTATCACTTTCCACATTAGTCACCCTTAATTTGGAAACTACACTGACAACTGAAGCTTCAGTCACTGCTGTTATCTCAACTTTCTTTGGTGGTTCTCCTGTCAATTCTGTCACACCATTTTCAGCAAATACTTGAAATTTGTATTCTGTTACTGGATCAAGACCAATAACAGTCACTCTTGTGGAATTTAATCCTGATGAAGCTGGTCTATATTCAACATTGGGGCCACAGTTGGAACAATGCACCCGATATGTGACATCACTACGGCTGCCATTTTTATGTGGTGGCTGCCAAGCAAGTGATATTGAAAACTGGTCTGCAAATGTCACTGTTAAGTTATCAGGTGCTGATGGTGGCTGAGTGCAAGGAAAATCTTTAGGATCCTTCTTAGCTCTGTAGAATCCAGGAACACATTTACATTCGGATGCAGCATAAGCTGTCGACTCTGAATAATCAGGGCATACAGTACAGGGATCATCGCCTGTGTGAGATTTAAACTTGCCGGGTGCACACTCTTTGCAGAGTTGATTTTCACGGTCTGGTTCATATCCAGCTCGACATTTACAAGAACCACTGGGCAGGGTCCATTTGCCATCTCCCTTACACAAATAAACTGGAGGTGTCTCACCCGAGGGAGTCTCAGCATTTTCCACACATGTACCATTGGCCTGTTCTATTACAGTGACTTCTCTACCTGTAGGTGTCGCTGGGAATCTAGCAAAGTTGACAGTCACTTCGGGGCATGTTATGTAATACACTTTCACAGCTAATATGGAGATGCAAGCGCCTTGGTCTCTAAAGGCAAAGTATACACCTTTCTTCGTGACAGCTATGCTTTTAACTTCAGTATTAATGTGTACCTCAGAATTAGTGTTGAAGCGTCCCTCTCCTGCAGCAATACGGCCCACCAGCTTGTAGCTCTCTGGCTCCCAAGGAGGCTGTTCACGAGTAGCAACATCAAACTCATAGTACAACAAACTAAATGTCTCCTTACAGCTGAGTGCATTCCCAGGAAATAATGAGCAATCTCTTATTGTGAATTTTATTTCAATATAAATTCTGTTGGCATTCCTCCTCTCTATGAATGGTGTCCACAGCCAGTTGTTAACATTGTTGTGCGCGACGTCACACACCACGTACGACCGCCAGTTGATTTGTTTCTCGAAGTCTGTATAGGACTCCTCGAGCCAGCCGAGGGTGCTCGCCTGAGGGCCGTACGGGAACCGCGTCCAGGCCAGCGTCGCTTCAGTGGTGGTGTCGAGGAGCAGCACTTGCTCGGCGCGAACGCTAACCGCCGCGAGAGCCGCGGCCGCCACCACCGTACACAACCACATCATCTCAACGACATCACTAACAACGCGCTAACACCTATACACCATGCTCCCACTTGAACACGAGACAAAATCAGCTCACTCACACTACATAATGCACAGTTTTACAATCTTAAATAATCAGTCAACAGTTCACTTTGTTGGGAATAAAGGACAGTTCCGTCATTTCATTTCACTGCAATGTGTGCATCGTGTTCAGCGGCCGCAAACTGCATTCCCTATAATTTCAACTCCGACCTCTGATTAAAGTTTGTTGTCACTGAAGATCAGTTATCTGGATGAGATTTTACACAATTGTGTGTGAGAATTTTAATTTATATTGATCCCGTGTAAAACAGATGAAACTCTTGACATGGACGCGCAGCAGTTTCGTGTGTTGCCAATAATAAAAATTTGTTGTAGACATAAACAAACTACCTACTATGTCTATGGGTGCCGTAGAAATGTTAAAAGCGCAGGGTATCTGTGCATTTTGAAGTAGCAATAGAATGATGTGATATTTATAGAGTTACCAGACCCTAGATTATTTTTCCCCCATGATAGGTACTACTCACCATTTATACAGAGTATTGAATTGGGTGTATATTTAACTTTTTTTATTTTAAGTAACTACGAAATAAAAATTGAACGGCTGATACGATTACCGGATACTTTCACAGCTCCGCAAACGAGCAGTTTGCTCCGTGTCATTTCTAAAATAGTGTTACGAAATAATTATTGTCAGGTCGACCTCCACTTGGTTCTGCTGGAAACCATTATAGTTGAATACATCATGATGGGTAAACTAGCCTGCTTTCATCGTCACCTATTGCCATTCATTGGTACCCTGCCAATGTATATTAATAGCGTAGATGAGGTTTTTTCGTCCATTAATAAAAACTTTTTATTATCTAATGTGATAACTTATAATATTAAATTTGTTAATGCAAACAATGTATGAATGCATTTAATTATTCGCTAAAGTAAAATAATAGTATCGGTATCCTAACTGTTCCTATGAGTAGCAGCTACATGAAGTTTTAATGAATGAAGTGAAATTTAGTTGGTATACAAAATTAAAAATTTATCCGAATTTCTAGAAAATAATATTTTATCAATAATGACAACCCAAGAAGTTTCAAGAGCAATCGAATACATAAAAAATATACCTCCTAATTCGCAACAAATATTAACAACATAGCTATTTAAAATGAATGGGTAATGCAAGGTAAAAATGTAAACATCATCTTAAAATTATAATACCTACATAAATATTTTGTTTATAAATTGATGATCCAAATTTATTTTTGCATGCCATTTTTTTAAATAATTGATGTCTAACTCTGTATATTATAATATTAAGTATTATTTACTTGTGAAATATTTGATTTTCTTATAGTTAATTTCGGTTGAGACAAACTAAAATATAACAATTGGCTCAAATTAGAAGTGCCATTTCTCTTAACCTAATACTTTAATTTGATAGTTTCACAAAATTACTGTATTATAGACTTATATATATTTGGAATTTTACTTTATGTCTCTCCTTAGAATAAAGATTTTGCTGTGATATCAATATGAAACAAGCAGTTTATTTTTAATATTTATATTAAACAAAATCATTATGTTTTCAATATTATACTGAAAAGTATAAAAAAAAATATTGATTGACACAAATTAATTTTAAACAAATATTCACTCATGCATTCCAAAACTAAACTTTGTGTACACAAAGCAAGCACAAATAAGACTTCTATGTTTTGTTCATAATGCTATCTTCTAAGGCGAAGTTGTTCCAAGTATTATTGTCATTGTATGTCTTCTTTTCTTCAATAACAATTGGTTGGTAATTTTGTTGCGGCAATTTGTTCCAGCGTCATGCATAAAAGCCTTGAACTACCGCTATTTCTTAGCGACCATATCAATTTTATTTAATAGTAAAGTAAGAGAATTATATTCACTTGAAAATGTGAAACACTATAGGTAAATCAAAGGAAATTTATATGTAATATTGTGAATGACAGGTTATTTATTTTACAAAATGTCTTCTTCTAACATCTCTATTAAGTTTAACAACTCAAATTGTCCATTCCCTTCCTTTTTCAAAAGTTCTATAACATGGAGAGTTTGTTGTACAACACTTTTGTTAACGTTAACAAAAAAGCGTACATCTCTCATAGCTTTCTCTATAACACTTACAGGATAAGGTCGTTTTGTGTTAGGGTTAACACATTTATCAGCAATACTTGTAGCAATATCTTTCGTAAGGGATACTATTTGGATAATGGCCTCAAACGAATAGGTAAATCAAAGGAAATTTATATGTAATATTGTGAATGACAGCTTATTTATTTTACAAAATGTCTTCTTCTAACATCTCTATTAAGTTTAACAACTCAAATTGTCCATTCCCTTTTGTCTCTGTTTGGATCATAGCATCCAAATTTTTAAAATTCCCAGGTTCAATTAAACATATTATATTAGCCGTTTCAGAATACCAATATTCTTCTTCAATACTCAATACTAAATGTATTATTTTATTTTTAATTTTATTTGCACCTTTTCCAGTTAATAAGATTCTTACTCTCATTTGTGCCCTTTGCAGGCGTATTTCCTTTTTCAATAGTTCTATAACATGGAGAGTTTGTTGTACAACACTTTTGTTAACGTTAACAAAAAAGCGTACATCTCTCATAGCTTTCTCTATAACACTTACAGGATAAGGTCGTTTTGTGTTAGGGTTAACACATTTATCAGCAATACTTGTAGCAATATCTTTCGTAAGAGATACTATTTGAGATTGCCTATCCTTATCAGAAATTTGAAGCTCACCATTTTTCAGTATCTCCTTACATATTTCTGTGGAGTCGTTCGTTCTAAATATGTTGATCAAATCCTCTTTTTTAGCTGCCTGCCCTTTGGAGACGTGTAAAAATATAGTTTGCGTTTGCAATACCTCATTAATATCTTGTTCCAATTGATTTCGCCATGGTAGCACTTTATGTTTGTAGCAGGCTATTTCAAACTTTTTCCCACCTTTCTTTAAACGAACTATTGCAACGTTGGTTAAACGTACTTGATTTGTTGGTTTCAATAACTTTGACATTTTTATATTTTAAGTTTAATTTACTTTATAACAGAGAGGTGGAGAGGTTAATTACACGTGTTGTTCATTATAATTTAATAATGTAGGTAGTTCGATATATTTTGTACGGGAACCGGTAGTCGTTGTTCCGCTGTCATATGAACGGTGACAACTTGACACAATCCTTCGATCTAGGGATTGGATAGCATTGACATGAATCTATACAAGAATATGTGATCTACAAGTCGATATCGATATACTGAGTAAGCATCGTCACTCGCGGTATTGTGGCCATTATGAAATGCTTAATAAAAGGATTCTTCGTTATATTTCTAAAATATATACTTATTTATTCATTGTCATAATCGTCTCAGCTGGATAATGGCCTCAAACGAATTCCAAATTTTATTTTACTTAAAATAAGAATATTGTATTAAATTTTAAAAGTACGAAATTTTTCCAGTACAGAGTTTATTGATTAACGTAACAGTGTTCAATATAATCATCCATATGTAATTTCGAGTAATGATTGTTTCAATATTCAAATCTGTGTAAATTTAGACTCGAAGTCTACCTACATTTTATAATATTACTAAAAAAAGAATTTAGAAATATAATTATGAATTCTATGAATAAGTATTTTGTAAAAGTTATAATGGCACGGGTGGCTGTACCTAATGTATATATGTACTATATATACCTAATGTATGTATATGTATATATAGGGAGGAAGGCATTGTTAGTAATACGGACTATCGGTATCATTGCTAACAATACACCCCGTCAGGTCAACCTCTCCGCGGTCCCCCTGGGAACCATCGTATTAAATTCCAGTGTATTCATCATGGTGAGCTAACTGGCGTGCCTTTTCATCATTAAGGAAGGAATTGTTAGTAATGTAGACTGAGAATTCCATTGCTAGCAATATACCCAACCAGGTCGACCTCCTCGCGGTCCCCTCTGGAAACTATCATGGTTAATTCCTGATGAATTCGTCATGATGGGCTAACTGGCCTGTTTCATTCTCATCGATCACCTTCACTGGTGCCCCGCCAGCGTATCCCGTTAGCGCAGGTTACCATTCCATTTAAGCCCATCAAAAAAAAAAAAAAGGCCCGATCGTTGGAAGGTATGAATGTTGACAATTAAAATTTAGTAAAAATTACCAATTTTCGATAGTAATAATGAAAATATGTAAAGTTTTAGTAAAAACTTAAATTAAAAAGAGAGCTAGTAAGTAAATAATTAGTAAAATATTAGAATATATTATGAAATTAATTGCTGTGTTGGCGTTTTTTTTCGCCGTCACCATAGTGACGCAATGGAATGGAATGAAATGGACTAATAATAAATAGTAGTGGATGAAACAATGGACTTGGTAATTAAAAAAATCTAACTAATTAGAAAATCTTTCGAATACTGAAATTAGTAATTACTAATTACTAATTGATCGACTAACAAAATTGCACGAAGTCGCGCATCCCTAGTTAACATTATCATTACATGTGTAGAGTAGAATGCAATCTACCCACAAAATAAATATTATACCCAGAAGGAAAGCTGTTTTGACGTATCGCTAAATGTGCCGACAAATGTGTAAGTGTTGCCGCAAGAAAATTAAATAAAAAATATGTATTTGTATCGTAACCCAATTTTAGTCTTCTTTTTGAATCATCGATTGCTAAACACGCGTTTTTTTTTTATAAAATTCACTAATAATTACAGCTAGACCACGCTACGGCATTATTTTTTACTTAATCATACAATATTCACAGTAATATGTTTGTTATTCAAACATGCTTAAAAAGCGAATTTGAATAAATGTTTATATCCCAAAGGTGCGGAAAATAGCTAGTTTCTTATAATAATATTTTTTTTTTGTGAAATTCTTTGAAAAGACAGCTAACTTCTTTTAATTCTCTTTTCAAAGAAAGTAAAAGAATTATTACACTTCATGAAATTGCATTTAAAAACAAAAACGCACTTTTTACGCAGCGAATGACGAGCGCGGAGAGCTCTAACACACACAAGCTTCAGTTGCTTGTAGTAGTTTTCTTGTCCCAACATGTTTCTTAGTATCTTTTTTTTTTGGTTATTCTGTGATGCAGCTTTCTAAAAATTAATGACGCTCAACATCCGTTCAAGGATAATGTCATGCTAATGAAATATTTTATTACAGAAAAAATCAAAACATTGTTTTAATAAAAAGACGCGTTAACGTTAATGGCGGATACCTAAATTCGTATGAAATTAGGATCATTATTATAATAACTAGATCTCGTAGGGGAAGGTGAAAAGTTTTCGGTCTGACAATGAAAGACTGCTATTTTCATTAAAAAAAAGTAATTTTATTTTTCTACATAATCTCCCTTCATTTCAACACACTTGATCCAGCGTTTCACTAACATCAGTATTTCTGGGGGGGAAGGGATTGCTAGTAATGCGGATTACCACTCCCATTGCTAACAATATACCCTAACAGGTCGACCTCCTCGTGGTCCCTCCTGGAAACCATCGTGCTGAATTCCAAGTGTATTCATCACGATGCGCTAACTGACCTTTCTTTTCATTCTCACGTATCATCCCTCACTGGTGCCCCGAAAGCGTATACCGTTAGCGCAGGCGGGGTTACCATACCATTTTCACCCATCATAAAAAAAAAGGTGCTGCCTCCCGATGACGTCTCTATCCTGCAAGGTAGACAAAAAAAACATGTGAAAAGCTTCCCAGAAACAAATTCCTTCAAGTTTGAGAATAGATAGAATTCTGAGGGAACCAAGTCAGGAGAATAGGGGGGATAACCAAGCAAATTGTATCCCAAATCCCGCAGTTTTCTCATCGCCAACAGAGCCTTTATTCAGGTCCATTTTAACAAAAAAATATGCACGACATTTACTGCAAAAATTCATGTAAATAAACTATTTAAAAGAACAAGTTTAAACTTGTCATACGAAGTAATGACACATACACCTAAGCAAGAAAAATATTTTTTTTACTGTATAGAACGCCATTTCTGTTTTTTTTTTTTTTAAATGGATGAAGATGGAATGGTAACTCTGCCTGCGCTATCGGTATACACAGGCGGGGCACCAGTGAAGGGTGACAAATGAGGATGAAGGCATGTCAGTTGGCCCATAGTAACCAATTGAACAACAATTAACCACTATGGTTTCCAGGGGGAACCGTGTGGAGGTCGACCTGATGGGGTGTATTGCTAGCAATGGGGCTGTTAAATCTCATCACTAACAATCCCTTTCCGTCATTTCTGTGTTAGGCCGGGAACTTTTCAGCTTACCATCGTATATGTAAAATTTATTTATTTATTTACATATATGGTACACTAAACAAACTTTTCATTTAAATAATATCATTAATTAAATACATTACATAAATTAAATACAAAATTGATATGTGAAAGGTTACATAGATATAAGCACGTCTTTCTATCTGCCCTTTGATTATTTATTTATTCTTTATTGACCATATTACAAAAAAAATGTCTGGTACAAAAGGCGGACTTAATACTATATAGCGTTCTCTCGCAGTCGACCTTTGGCTAAACAGAAATTTTATTATGCGGTGAAAAAAATTACAACACATACAATAGAGAACTACTGCACATTATTGTGTGAGATACACGACATGACGAAAAAGCATATACGGATTCACTCCTATTTTAAGACTGTAGTGGAGTTACGGCTCTTTCATTAGTACCCGCCACGTTTACTGACCAACTTTCTCTATTTTGGGCATGGCCATATTATTAGGTACAATAATTATATCAAATAGCACGTCACAAGACGATGTAGTGACAAAAATCGAAAAAGGAATGTTGCGTTGGTTTGGTCATTTGGAGAGGATGGATGAAAGGAGAATTACGAAAGAGATTTCTTAAGCAAGAATGAATGGAGATGTCGGTAGGGGCCGCCCTAGACGGACGTATGTTGACCAAATAGGCGACGTGCTGGAGAAGGGCCAAATTAAAAGTACCCGTAACCGGCCAGCGTGTATTAAGACTGATGAATGTGGAGGAAGCGAAAGAGGTTTGTTTGAATGCGTTAGCACGTCATCTTTCACGTGGTTGGACTGGAAACTATCGTGGTTAATTTGTCACGATAAGGCAAGTGACCTATCTTGTCATACATTGTTAGTGACCTTCCCCCTCCGTGTATACATTAAGTGCGGGGAAATTCCATTGTTATTTATGAAAAAAATATATACTATGTATGCTGTTAGGTCGATCTTTACAAGGGTACCCATGTTTATCAACGAATTCGCCACTATGAGCCAACTGGTTTAATTGCTTCCTTGTTGTCTTATGTCCATTCGTACCACGCGATTCCATTGTCATTTATTTGCCTTTACTCATTGATTTGATGGATGACTCCTTCCTTACTTAAGACCGCCTTACTGTACTTGTACAATTGTATCGTTGTGTTTGTAAATTGTCTTGCTTATTTCCTATATTGTATAATGCAAGTAAAGTATACTCATTCATTCATTCACAATTCCCTTTCAACTATCATACCAGCAATGAAGTTGGACAGCCCTATTGCTAGCAATATGACCTATAAGGTCGACCTCCATATGGTTCCCCCTAGAAACCATCGTGAACAATTCTTGTTGAATTCGTCACGATGGGCTAGCTGACCTGCTTCATCTTCACCTATCATCCTTTACTGATGCCCCGCCGGTGTATACCGATAGTGCGGGTGGGGTTACCATTCCATTATCACCCATTAAAGAAAACCATCATGGTTATTTCTTGTGGAATTCATCACGATGGGCTAACAGATCTGCTTTGATCCTCACCCTATCATTCCTCACTGGTGCTCCGCCAGCGTATACCGATAGCGCAATAACAAAATAGTTTTTTTTTTTATACAATTTAGAATAGCAAACAAGCTGACGGCCCACCTGATGGAAAAATGTAACAGTCGCCTATAGACATGAGCAGTACCATGCACATAACAGAGTATACTGTTTCACCCATGATACCCCCCATGCGTTGCCATTCCTGAGGACTCAGGCGTTATTCCTCTGTACCCTGTAAATTCACGCCATATCCCACCCTTCAAACCGAAACACAACCATGCAAACACAACTGCTTCACGGTTGAAACACGAATGGGACAGAGGTAACCAAGCAATCGACTTTTGTACAAAGTCTCCCACTGGTAAATGGTCAGAGCATTGAAATATTGTTTAAATTTTATCGAATATTGAATCAACCATTTATTTGTATACACATATTAAATACATTTAATACATAAAGTAATTAATGTTTGGTCTTAATGACAAATAAGATAAAAAATAAAAGCAAATCTGAGGTATGTGAGTATTAACATATTTCATTATGTTATCAACTTTATAGGAGTTGACACTTGACAAACATATATCTTCAATGAAGCTGCGGTCAGTGATCTCAGTGTAATGAAATATTTAATTATATTATATGCTTATATCCTACTACATTAGCTATTTTTATCACAAAAATAATATAATCCTAATTGAGAATTTCCCATCCATGTCAATGGTATTTAAAATTACAGACGTAAATGTATATACAGTAACATATTTTTTATATTTATGCAATAATTAAAAACACTTTCAGATGTAACAAACTATAACAAATACATGATTTGTCTTATCACACATAATATATTTATAAACATATTAAATATTTTTTTTTTAATATTATATAATATTTTTTAATAATTATGTAGTTAACATGTTGAGTGACACAAGAAATTTTAATAATCTGAACTTAAACGACAATTTGATTTAATCTTATTATATTATTAAAAACATTTTTTTTTTATACCACTTAGAATGGCAAACAAGCTGATAGCCCACCTGATGTAAAGTGGTAACTGTCGTCTATAGACATGAGCAGTACCATGGATATAACAGAGTATACTGTTTTGCCCATGATACCCCCCATGCGTTGCCATTCTTGAGGACTCAGGTGTTATTCCTCTGTACCCTGTAAATTCACGCCATATCCCACCCTTCAAACCGAAATACAGCCATGCAAACACAACTGCTTCACGGTTGAAACACGAATGGAATGACAGAGGTACCAAAGCAATCGACTTTTGTACAAAGTCTCTCTCTGGTAAAAACACTAATTCTAGTGCATAGTTATCATCAAAAAGTATAAAAAAAGAAACAAAGAAACATTAAAATATTATTTTATATATTGAATTTTAATGAATTTTTATAATTATATTTTTGGTTTGTTATTTAAAAAAAAATTCTGTTCAATCAAGCTAGCATTGATGTTTGTTCTTTTCCCAGAAGCCATCTATCAATATTAGCACTGATATATTTTGAGTTTATTTGTAGTAGCATAAAAATGGCAAGTAAACACAGGATAAGATAACCCATAGTTGGTGTCCTAGAAAAAAAGGCAATCTATGAGTTATCTCATAGTTAATTGACAGTCAACATGTTAATAATTTTTAATTTTTTTTTTTATTAATTTATTCTCTCTTTTTACCATGTAAAACACACACAACAGCTTATTTATAAAAATCTAAGATGGAATAGTCATGCAAGTCATAACATGTTATAGTTATTGAATATTTAAATGACAAAACAATGTATGTAATAAAAGATGTAATGTATTAAACAATTACTTACAATATAAACCATAATTTTATATGATAATTTTACATAGAGAATATTGTAATTTGGAAAATGTTTGGACTGTACAATTGTAATATAATGTAGACTTAAAACCATTCTAACATGTGCATACCTCCGCGGGGTGCTGCATGTTGTGTGCCTGTATATGTATGTAACTTCTTATTGTACCATGTAGCAAGCGAATACATATGATTTGATTTTGTTTTGAATGGTCATTAGTACTCTATAGAACTGTGCAAAATGTTTCTGTTAGTTTTTTTTTTATATAAAATAAAAATATGAACAGTTCAAAACTATATTTAAATACTGGCGTTGGAGTATTTTTAGAATTATTAAGAGGATTAAACAAATAAGAAACTGGGTACTTGAATAGTGTTATTTTCAGCAGTTAAGATATAACTATGTAATACCAATTTAGTAAGAAAATAATAACATTATGTGAGATTTTTCAATATGAGATGGACTTATTATTACTTATGCCAGATAAAATTAAGACACTATACTAGTACTTAAGTAAGGTTAGGTGCAAACAATGATATAATGTTATTATAACTTACACTATTATAACACAAGTGTTTGTTTTTCTAAAGCTAAATATAAACTAGTTAAGCTATCGAACACATGGTTTGGTGCTGGTGGTTTCTCAGTTTTAATATCATCTGATATGAGCACTGCGTGCCACCCAGCTAATCTCGCTCCTTCGTAGTCCGTCTTCACATCATCTCCAATATGAAGGGCTTCTGATGGCTTCACACTTTGCTTACACCTTTCCAGGGCATGTCTAAATATCTTTGCATCAGGCTTACTAAAGCCAAATTCATAACATGTTACAATAAAATCAAACTTATTAATTATCCCAATACTCCCAAGTACATCATACAGGCGAGGGTCAAAATTAGATATTATGCCAACGGTAATTCCCCTTTTTTGAATGCTGTCTAGCAATATATCGCTTCCCTCAGCAGCACTCCAACATTTTGCAGTTTTATAATCTTCTATTAGTTCAGTGGCAACGCTGTTTACATCCGAACTCACTGGAAGATGACCATCGAAAGTTCTCTTCACAACTTGTCGCCACCATTCCTCCCAGGATATAGTACACTTACCGAAATTAGGATATTTTGACAATAGGATATTGTAGTTATGTGATAATCTATCATCAACCTCTTCGTCTGTGCCCTTATATCCATATTTCCGAGCTACAGCGGCATAATATTGCCAAGGCGGTACCCGGAATTTTAACAAAGTATTAGTTACATCGAATGTAATCAATTTTATATGTTGTAATCCCATTGTGAGTTGATAGACTTTTTGCGATTATTTAGTTATTTCATTATGGAGTTTATTCCTTTTTAAAATTGATTTCTATTAATACATATCTAGTAATATACCTGTACTTTACTTGTTGTCTGATTAGATCAGGTGAAATTTCACGGAACGCTTGAACGAAATTCGAAATAATAAAGCATGACATAATATTTTGAAATCACTTGTTAGACGTTGTATTAGATCCATTCTGTCGTTTATCTTGTTTTGATTCCTTTGATGTTTAGTCAGTCTTACCATATATAAAAATAAAAAAAGTAAGTTGTAATAAAAAATCGTTTTAAAAGGCAATTAATTTGATAATACTCTGTGTCAGTCAAGGTAAAAGAAATTATTTAATCTGTGCAATGCACAGAGTATACCATATTATTAAGTCTCTATATTGTGTGGGTATTCTTCGAGCTAGAATATAGATCAGTGTTTCTATTATTTGTTCAAATCTTAGTTTTGTTTTTATTTTCCCATAACACTACAGCTAAAGTATCAGATATAACTAAGAACACAAGAAACATTATACTTTCCTGTCCTTGAAACGAGTTTCTAGAATGGTGTACGTGAAAGGAGGTTCGTTCTTTATTTTCCTTTAAACCATTAGTTTAGTTTTAGGCCACGTCAGTTTATATTTCACAACAATTAGATAACATGAGATCATTTCAAAATTGCAATACTTCCATGATTACTAATTGTTTAAATCGACACCTTGTCTTGATTGCAGTGTTTGAGTATGGGTCAGTTTTATGTTTAATATACAATTCCATTCTTACCCATCGACCCTTCTGTTTTCGTTTTTTTCTTATTCGATTTTACAGTAAATCCTGATATTATCTATATTTTTATTAAAATAATTTCTATTAGTTACTAGATTTTCAATATAATTTTTGAAGTATTATAAATGGCCTTCTACTACTTCAAGTTTTAAGACTATATTATTTTATAAAACAATATAATTCAGCTAGTTTCTTGATACTATTATGATTATCATTTAAGCATTCATTATCCATATTCTATGCTTAGACCTTGTATTTATTAATTCCTTTATGTATTTCACATTATTAATATAAAATATTATTTAAGTTTTTTGAAATTCTTTTGAATACAATGTTACAAATAGAACTATGAGAAGAAACAATTTAAAATTGTTAAACAAGCTTTTATATTTTGCATTATGAAAACATATAAATTAAAATTATTGTTTATGGTACAATTTCAGATGGAACTGTAGTGCAGCAGAACTCGTTCAGCTTTTTTGGATGGTTCTGGGGCATCCTAAATTTCTTTTATCTGCTGTAAGTAATAAAAATATTAATTAATAACGTAATGTTTTGGACCTTAACTGATTTAATAGCAATAAAATTATGTATTAACACATAATCATTCATAATAAGGTATATTAATTTCCAAGGGCATCATTGTGTATTCTGTGGTGTAAGTTGAGTTGATAGTTTACATCAGGTGGATAGTGGTAATTGTTGCATTTAGTTGTATATTACCAGAGGGAGACTTTGTACAAAAGTCGATTGCTTGGGTACCTCTGTCCTATTCGTGTTTCAACCGTGAAGCAGTTATGTTTGCATGGCTGTGTTTCAGTTTGAAGGGTGGGATATAGCGTGAATTTAGTGGGTACAGAGGAATAACACCTGAGTCCTCAGGACTCATGGGGGGTATCATGGGCGTAACAGTATACTCTGTTATGTCCATGGTACTGCTCATGTCTATAGGTGACGGTTACCACTTTCCATCAGGTGGGCCGTCAGCTTGTTGCCATTCTAAGTTGTATAAAAAAGAAAGCTATGAACATAACAGAGTATACTGTGTCACCTGTGATTACCCTTCATGCATTACTCATCCCAGGACTAAGGTGTATGCTGCTATACTCTGGAATTTCATTGCTGTATCCCACCCTTTAAATTGAACCAAAGCTTTGTTCATTCTTTGTCTGATATTTTGTATTGTTTATTTGTTGTGATACTAACTTGTTTTTTTGTGATACTGACAAAATTGTTGTAGTAAATTGCAAAAACTCTGGATATTGTTTTTTTTTACCTAAAATTTCCTTGTAGTACATATAAATTACCTATTTCGTATTTTGGTTGTGTTTTTTGTATTGGATGAAAATGGAGTGGTGACCCCGCCTGCGCTAATGGGATACGCTGGCGGGACACCAGTGAAGCATGATCGATGAGGATGAAAACAGGCCAGTTAGCCCATCATGATGAATTCATCAGGAATTAATCATGATAGTTTCAAGGGGGAACCGCGAAGAGGTCGACCTGGTTGGGTATATTGTTAGCAATGGTATTCTCAGTCTCCATTACTAACAATCCCTTTTCCCCCCATTTTGGTTGTGTTGTCTTGGTGTAGAATCTTTCCTATGGGTGTTGTAAGAGGCAACTAAGAAGACTTAATAGTCAAGCATGGGCAGCAGTAACCTTTAAATAACATTACCAGCCTAACTGCAGTTGCTAACTCACCTGCCAAGCGTGGCAACTACTGGCGAAACCCCTTCAAGGGGGAGGCTTCTGTTCAGCAGTAAACAGTTAATGGCTAATATCATAATCATCATTTTTAATTTCAGGTTCCAGACTCTAATTAATCCAAACTTCAGTAAACATGGTGACAAGTATGTGACAGATTTCCGACCACCTGGCAGTGGGTAAGTTATGTTTTTTTTATACCACTGAGGTGGCAAACAAGCATATGGTCGACCTAATGATATACCATAGTCTATGAACGCTTGTAATATTTTTTTTTAATGGGTGATAATGAAATAGTAACCCCACCTACGCTAACGGTATACACTGGTGGGGCACTAGTGGAAGATGATAGGTGAGAATGAATGCAGGTTAGTTGGCCCACCATGATGAATTCGACTAGAATTAAGCATGATGGTTTCCAGGGGAAACGCGTGGAGGTCGATCTGAGAGTGTATATTGCTAGCAATGGGGCTATTTGACCTCATTACTAATAATCGCTTTCCCTCCTTCGCCTGCAATACTGGGGGTATTACACGCGCGTTGCCGACCCTGAAGAAACCTCTTTACCTCCCTTTTGAAGAATCCTATGCTGTAGTCTCTTGGGAAAATCTCGGCACGGAGCTCTTTCCACAACTTGAGTGTTTATGGGAGAAAACATCTCTGAAACCACATTGTAAGCACCATTTAGGCTATAGCGTATGAGGGTGAACTCCTTGTCGGTGGTGAGCCGTACGATGGCTTTTTAAATTTATCTATATATAAAACTTCATTGGTGTTAATTCTGTGACACTTGCCCATATCCCTTCTATGTTCTTTCTTCCATTGTAAATTATAATTTACTAAGTTCAGGCCATATTTACCAACTGACTAAATACTCTCTCATTTTATTGTCAATATTTGTTCATACCAATACAAGTCCAAGCGACATACCGGCACGGCTACGTATTTTTAATAATTCTATTTGCGCGGTCGAAACGACACTGCTACGTGATTCCTTGAGGGAAACACTGTTACCTATTGTATTACGTTCTTATTATACTAGATTTGTAAGATTTAGAAAATATAGAAGATTAAACTATAACTGCATCAACCGTAGTTGTTATTTATGCCGCATCTAACAATATTTAAAACAAATATTGTTCCAGATTTACGCGCATTAATTTTATAAATAGATTAGTATCATGTAAAACTGTGTTATCAGCATCCTATTTCATATAATGGACATGATTCTTGTGTAAATGAAAAACATTACATTTTAAAGGATTTATAACTATTTTTACTACTCTTTAGCCATTTGTCTGTTTATATTTATTATTTCAGCCGTTAACTATCCTCTGCTGAATATAAGCTTTCCCATAAAATGAGTTTTTTTTATACAACTTAGGATGGCAAACAAGCTGACGGCCCACCTGATGGAAAGTGGTAACCGTCGCCTATAGACATGAGCAGTACCGTGCACATAACAGAGTATACTGTTTCGCCCATGACACCTCCCATGCGTTGCCACTTCTGAGGACTCAGGTGTTATTCCTTAGTACCCAGTAAAATCACGCCATATCCCACCCTTCAAACTGAAACACAGCCATGCAAACACAACTGCTTCACGGTTGAGACACGAATGGGACAGAGGTACCCAAGCAATCGACTTTTATACAAAGTCTCTCTTTTGCCAAAGTTGCCAATAACTGGCAAAATCTCCCAAAGGGGAGGTTTATGTTCAGCAGTGGACAGTTAAAGGCTGTGATGATGTATAAGCCAGTAATGATTAAATGATGCAGCGAAATTTTAAGTATTAATATATTTTATTTATAAAACTTTAATACACCTAGACAGTGTAAATGGGCTTAACACAATTTTTAATTTCATTTTCAGTCCACCTAAGCCTCCAAGTCGGAAATTTGGCGGATTTGGACCGTCGGGATCGGGGCCGTCGCCTCCGCCGATGGGAGGGTGTGGCTGCGGCGGCTAAATACTCAAATATATACATTCCATACACCCTATAAGGGTAGATTCACACTATAACGGTTCATTCTCGGTCTGGGAGTCGAAACTTCGAGATGGAATAGTACTGAACTGATAAATAGAACGAATGCAATCTCTCTCATGTAATAATATTTTATAAGACACAATCCAACCGAGAACGAACCGTGAGTGATATTATATTGTGAATCTGGCTTAAAATATATTATTTACTTTTTGTATAATAAAACTTATATGATTTAATAACTGTTTAATTATTAAATATGTATAAATGATTTCATATTTTCCATAATAGTGAAAAAAAGTCGATGAAATAGAACAAGGCACCAATGTGAAGTTTGTGTTTGGTTTTATTTCTATCTCATATCCATATTTCAGTGATAGTATTCAGGAACTTTATGTTTTTACGAGTCCATAATATTTATTATGAAGACATTTAGAAAAACATAAGATTTTAAATTGTCCATTGCAAAAGCAATATGTAGTAGTAGTTTAATTTATCCCACTCAGGGAAAGGCAAAGCTACTGAGCCATACAGCCTAATCTTCAGAAAATCGGTGGCCCACGAAGACCGTGAAAAAGCAACAATTTATTTAAATATGGAATGACATCTGTCTTAAGTTTAGCTAGACATTAACAGAAAGATAACTACAGTTTCGTGTAGTGTGGAAGTTCCTATACTGCAACAAACGAAGGATTTTGGTATTCGTGATAGTTATAGTTTGATGTTATTAAAGAAATATAGGGAGCTAATGAGTTAGATCAAAGAGTCAGGATGAGCTTACAGGCGTATAATGGACGTAGAAAAAGGAATTTTATTTACAATGTTTCATTGTACTCTACTATAAAATGACGTGTTCGCATAAATGAAAATATTATATTGCTCCTTCACTACACGACTGATGCTAAATTTGCAATTAACTTTCTTTTATGCTTGCAATATTTTTTATATTACCACACACAATAATCATATAAAATTACATTAATTATAAATTAATGACATGTTGTTTACATTAAGTAAACAAACATTTGAAATTATCTGTGGTAGGATGTAACCGATTAGGTATTTATTGTAACAAAATGCAAAGAGTATAAATATTTTAGTAATATTAACAATAGTGTCTGTTTTTTCATTGCAAATATAACAATATTGTTGTGTATTTTTGTATTAAATTACTGAAGATTGCAATGTTTTTCATTGTTGATTTTTATGCCATTTATTAATTTTAATTAATATTTTTATATACTTAAGTGATAACATTTTAATTTTCGTTTTAATTCTTTATTGTACACACTAACTTAACATTACTTGTAAACTTGTATACTTAATATAGTATTAAATATGTTGATATGTGAAAATAAATGTTTTTTTTTTAATATTACCTTAACCTTAGATTAAGTATAACAGATTGGTAATGCACGAGACAGAAAATATAAAAACCTGTATGTTAGAGCGAGAGAAAAACGGGACGTCAATCTACATAACATTATGCTCCAAGTTGTTTTGGCGGGAATAAAAACAAAGTAATATCTAATTATTTATATGTATTGAAGTGGAATTAATTCTAAGTGAATGTCGTTAGAATTAAGTGTGCTTTACTTGAATGTAATATAAAGAACAGAGAAAACACAATTTCATATTTTACATGTCAATATGCTTGAAATATTTCACACATTTAAATACAATATTTAGAACTATAACAAATATTTTGTATATGAATCGATAGAGATAGAAATACGAATGGGTATATAAATACCCAAGCAGACAACTTTTGTACGAAGTTTTTCTTTATATTATAAAATATGGGATTGTAACATTTTAGCCTTTAAGAACGGCAATGTACATTGATCGTAGGCAAAACCATTGTCTATAACTGAAAACTTTGCTTCTTATTCTGGTGTGGAAACGGATCCTCCTCTAAATACGCCTATGTCTGTGTCATCAAATGGTATCATAATAAGTAATCAATTTATAGAATACTTGTTATACTTTTAGTGTCAATACAAAGTTTTATATATATATATATATTTTTTTTATATCGATTAAGAACTTTTCAGGCACAATAAGTTGTGTGTTTTTGACAAAAAATTAACATACTCGTTTGTCGTTTAATTGCTATTTGTAAGTGTAATAATTTCATGTACCCCTGGGGTAGGTACCTTAATCTATGCCTTATAGACCATAAGAAACTACATAGGTATTAAAATGTCATTTTATTAGGTGCTTTAACCATAAATTCTAGAGCAAAATGGTGACACTGTTTACCCGCCAAATATTAATACTTTGATATAGGACCGCAGGTACTATCCTAAATCCGTGTTAGCAATCTAAGAATAGTTTGCATTTTTGCATTATGGAATTTCCATTTGTTTAGATCATATCCTAAAGCATGTGTCTTATTATCGTATAAGACATATGAAAAAGAATAATTGTTGATCACTAGTTACTGATCGTTCAAGGAATAACAATACATTTTTATTGTATATATTATATGTTGCATCCTTACCATCTCTAATTGGGGCCTCGCCAGCGACGTTGATACCGCAGGCAGGGTTATCATTCCATTTTCGTCCACTAAAAAAAGATTATAGGCGACAGAATACTGTGCTTTTGTGATGTTGATTAACACTTGCCTTCATGTCGGCCGTTAGTTTATTTCTTATAAATTTGGTATCAATTTAATTTATTATTTAAATATCATCTATAACTTTAAATGATTATTTTATGATGTTATGACACTATTATAATATTATATATTAACGCTAAATAAATCCATTCAATTATAAATAATGCATAGTAATTTCATTGTAATTGGAGCTGTTATGTGGATGTTAATACCATAGATGAATACAATATCAAATTACTCATTGGCTATCAAGTAAGAGTTAATATTATAAGGGAATATTAAAATTAAAATACTATGGTTAATTATTTATTTTTATTACATAACAAAAATGGGGAATACAATAAAAATTAGAATATGAAATGCTTTTACACTGTATGGAAAATATTTTATATTATGAAGTCAGTATGTATGGTATTAAATCTATAGAATATGTCTATGACATATGTTATATAAGGTTATACAATAATGCAAAACAAAAAAAATGAAAAAAAAAAATATAAATATTTAAAAAGAAAAACGCCAAAAAATATGATAAGGATAAATTACGATAGTTATATTTACTTTATATTTATATTTACTAAATACAAAATAAAAAAAAAAAAAACAATCAGTTTGAATGAGGAACAGAAGTAAATCATGAAACACGCGAAAAAAGCGCGGGAATTCTGGTGCGAAAGGTGATACTTTCAAAATATAGTTAATCACAATAACTTCTTTTTTTTTCTTTTTCATGGCAATAACAATAGGAATTTTGAGATGACGTCCAAATGTTCTTAATCTTTGTCTCTGTTGCAGTCAAAACTCTTGACCAGTCAAAAGTACTATTGATTAGCAAAAACGGTCAAAAATCGTATGCTTTAGTCAATAATACTTTTGATTAAAATAACAATTGAAAGTGCTTCTTCTTAAAGTACTTTTGACTAAGTGATTCCATTAAAAGTGGTTTTGACTGGTTGTATCAGTCAAAACTCTTGAAAAGTCCTAATCTAACTTAATTTATTTAAATTAGGTTAGGCTAGGTTAGTATGTTTCCTTTGTATTGATTGTAATGCCAAATTTTTCGTAATAAACGATTTCACATTTAATAAATATATTTTTTTTTATCTAACGAGTTAATAGTACTTTTGACTGATACTTTATTGCAGTTAAAACTACTTTTGACTAAGAGTGTCAGTTAAAAGTACTTTTAACCGCAAATTTGCAGTGCAGCAAAAAAGTGCTAATAACCAATAATTTTCAGTTAAAACCACTTTCGACCAACCTGTTCAGTCAAAAGTACTTTTGACCGTTTTTGCTAGTCAATAGTACTTTTGACTGGTTAAGAGTTTTGACTGCAACATTTACATCCTTGTGACCGGTCAGTTTACGACGCTCCACCAGGCAGCTATCTTCTCCCTATAACAATACGAGTGACAATATCAAACAATATGACCAATATTAAGATAATTCGTATTAATTTACCAATTTAAATTACATTTTAATAGAGCAAAGTTTCTACGAAGTAATGTTAATCTACTCTATATATCCTTTGTTTGCATGTTTTTTTATTGGTGAATAAAATTAAAGAAAAAATGATTAAAAAAATAAATTTGACAGCTATGTTTTTTTTCTGCAATGGACATTAATAAGGTATCCAGACACGATCAACTTAAAGTGAAATTGTTCTTTGATATATTTTTTTGGCATTCAATGTTATGATGGAAGTTTCCACCGTTATGCAAAGAAGGGATATATATTGTTACATGTTTATAGACGACGGTTACCACTTTCCATCAGGTGGGCCGTCAGCTTATTTGCCATACTAAGTTGCATAAAAAAATTCTACAGACAAAACAAATTACATAGGACAAGACAAATGAATACGACGGCCAGTAACTAAAAAGACGGATATAATTTTAAGGCAAACAATTTGCTTTCGACCTTCGTATTCTAACGTTTTAACGTAATTTTTTTTGTAACTTTATACCTATGTTTTTATGTCTTTCGTTAATTGTAAAAAAAAATCTAAATTTGTTTATGTGTATTATGTTGAAAAAAGTAGACAGTAAAAAAGTATAATTGTATTCCAGACAATTTATCTTTTTGAAGACTAGGCAGCATGGTCTTCGACCTTAGCCTGTTCCAAACGGAACAAACGTACTAAAAAAAAAAAAAAGTATAATTGTTGTATTGTTTGCAACACCGGAAAAAATGGCGCGTTTAAAAAAATAATATGGCAAATTTAGTCTACTAAATGTCACCCGATGCTCTATCTGTTTTATCTAAGCTTCTATATTACTACTGCATCACAAGTCAGAACAAAACACAATGTTGATCGTAGTAGACCAGATAGGCAAACCTTTCGTGATCATATCTCCAAATTAAATCACAATTCTTTTTATTATTTTGAAAAAACTTAGTTACCTCAGACTATAACTTATTGGCACAAAATACAATTGTCGGAGAAATGGACACATTTGTGCTGTAACGTAAATGCAAACATTAGAATGACAAAAAATGTTTTAAACAAGATGTATACCGACAGCGCTGGCGGCGTCACCGTGTCATTGTCGTTCATTAAGAGGAAACTCCTTTGAAGTCATGCAGTCGTCAGCGCTGGCGACGGCCTTGTTCGACTACGAAGTTCAGTTATAACTGTTGAGAAAACACTGAACTATGTTCCTAGTAGAAGCTTATGCTATAGTTAATACATTACAGCAAAGTTATTTA